CCAAAAATGTTGGGGGTGGTTCAGTGGTTATTTAATACAAGGCAAGAACAAGAACAATAAGTTGAAATAAGCTCTTTATGTAACGCAGAACCCACGTATAGTCGATGAGGATGATTGAGGAAGTATGATTCCCCTACCTGGCTTGACCCCGCGTCAGGTAGGGGGCGGACTTAATGAGGGATCGTCGTCTCAGACTGTGAGACGACGATGAGGGAAGGAATCGTCGTCGCAGACGACGATACAGGGACTGCGCCGCCACAGGCCAGCATCATGCGCTTGCCGCGCGACGATCGGCCAGCACTCAACGATTGCCTTGTTCGTGTCCTCAGTTCTTAGGAAAGCACGAGTCCGAGAAAAACTGAGCTGCATCAACCTGTGACAAGTCTGCAGCTTCATCTAGAATAGAAAGGATCCAAGTTGTAGACAATCGTAGTTGGTTCCGAAGATTAGCTTTCTAGCGCGTTTTCTCTCGGAACCCTCAAATGAGTTTTCAGGTTTGATCCCACTGTTATTGTTAAACTTAATACAGCGATGCTACACGTTTAGTTTTAGCAAGAGGTGTGTATATGAAAGCTGAAGCTCTTGCAGCGTTCAAACGATGCTGCGATGCTGTATCACCTTATTCTTGTGTTAAAAAGGTGAGGTATATTGTATATGTCGAAAAGTGGCACTAATTCTTAATGATCTGGAAATATTGCCTTGAATATTGCTGTTACAGAGTAGTTTAGATAGGGTCCTTGTAACAAAAAATGTGGTCATGGTGAAGACTTTCGTTGACTTATCAATTGGGAAGCTATGCACTTATTTACTTATTTGCTTACAATGTGAATAATATTCAGTTTTGACATAGTTGACACGCAATAGTCGCGCTCGGTGATTTCATCTTTTGGGCTCCGTTTACACAACAAATTTGAAATGTGGAACATGTAGAGGCACGAGGAAGTTTTAACTCCCAAAGTCCAAAAAGGATTACGGGGTTTTTTGCAAAATTACTTTTTTTGAATAGTTCAGTGCTTAGCACCTTCCTCAGCGATTAAAATACAACAATTTTAAGTGACTACCGCGAACACTCAGTAGCACTTTCTGATCCACGGGCAACTTCAACTTAACTTACGTGCCGCTGTTGTGGAGTTACCTTTATTTGAGCCCTCTCCCTTCGAAGTTTTGAAAACTTTGGAACCTCTTGCTGTAAAACTTTTTTTGGTGCTTCTTGATATTTTCACATTCGATTCCAGCGAGGGCAGCACAATGCAGTGGTATGCTCTATTAACTGCCTTCGAAACGAGATATGCGCATGGGCCAAAAAGGTTCCGTGATTCCAATCCTCTGTACTTCAGGCGCTGAGGCTCCACGATGACAAGCTCGTTGTCACTTCTTCATCGAATGCCGTTTCATTGCCATTATCGACATCTACTCGTTTTGTTGTCACTGCTTTTGGAAAAGCATCGATTCCCATGGCTATGGCGGCTGAGCATCAACTAGGACAACGAATGCACGACGGAATCGTCATTGCTCCGAGTACTTTAGAAAACAGGTGAGTCAGCGTTTTCACTAAGGTTTGTTTTCAGATTGTTCTCATCTCGTTGTCGTTGTGGATTCACTGCCACGAAACCTTTTGTCTGCTAGAGAGACGACCCTACGTTCGCGAGTATTCTATGGTGCCAGGAACAATTTACCTGATTCGGACTCCGTGGCTGCCACCACGGAGGCTCTTCACTCTATTCAGAAGAACGATGCGGATGATGTTATATTCCTTTTTCTAATTTCAGGTGATTTTATATTAGAATTTGATTTGATTCTTTCTCTCTAGCATTTTGCTTACAAGGGAACCTCCAACAGGTCGATCCGGCCATTTGCAATGAGATGTATATATATGGACGTGTCTTGAGCCGCTGAATCCAAATCTGCCCTCGGAATTTGCGGAACGATTCTCTGAAGGGAGTTACGGACCATTTAATCTCTGCTCTGTTCGCACAAGTTGGGAACGATAACTGCTTGCGGCAAGCGGCCGATGGCGTAGTGGGTAAGCGCGTTGCTTCAGGGACACGAGGTCACATGTTGGAATCCGTGACTCGTGAAAATTTTTCCTTTTGTTGAAAACACTTCATGTGAGTTCCCCAAACACTTCTGTTTGGCCAGGTTACCTGGTTCTTCAACTATTTAACAT